TATTATTGTTTTACAAAAAGAGCCTGCCGATCAACCAGCCTTAAGACCAACCAGAGAACAACTTGCTTGTTGACAGTTTTTTCAAGGTATCAATTTATGACTTGTATGTATGCTTCCACTTAACTGGGTCGTCCTGACATTTTATGTTCGCTGAAAACCCAAAGAGGTCGGTTCACCGTTTACATTATAGCCTCGTTTTGATATATCACAGCTGTAGTCATATGGCACACTTTGATTTCACTGTTAATATAACATATTGGATGCAATGGTAATTATTCTTATTTTATTTTATAAATCTAATATGGCGATACAGCATTTGTCATGCCAGTCAAGAAAAACAGTATCCATGGTTTCAGGCAAGTTAAAAAATATTGTTTGTAGTTGTTTTGTCAGAATTATATTTTTTAGGAACAATTAAAACAAAATCTTCCAAAAAAAAAAAATAATTTGAAAATCTCACGCGAGCATGGATTTAAAAAAAAAAACAATTGGCGGAGGGATACGAAACTATGCGAATTGACGACTCGGATGGTTTGACTTATAACAGATGATGATTTATGAATAAATGGCCAGCATTTTTTAGTTTAACACGGGCATGAATATGACTCTGGCTAAATGCTTCAAGTTTCATTTGTACCATCGGCTATTGGGCCCTTCAGCTATGTGACGCGTTTACTGCATCAATCGTTTTGTTCTCGTAAATTATCCTAGGATACAGATCACGTGACAATAACGATGGTATACTGGCCAAGTTCTACTCTGTTAATTTGTTGAAGAAGAGAACACGAAACTAGGTTTGAACGGTTTGGACTTGAAGCTCAAACAACAGGTCACGTGACAGTCACGCTTTCCATTGGGATATCTTGGATACATTTTTTTGTAATATTCATAAGTTTATCCATAGACATATCTTGCGTATAAGATTCACCTGTCATAATTTCATAATGCAAAATATATGAGAACAATGGTTACAAAGTCTGATAAAATAAGATAAAAGACCACACACACGTGTACTGAATCGCACATTGCATGATAAATGTTTGCGGACTTAATAGCAAATTCCGTGAAAATCTCGGCATAACGCACCTCTCAAAGTGTACATATAACCGTGTGATCACTGAGACGGTATGATAAATATTATTTATTCTTATTTATTTATTTATTTTTCAACAACTTTGTTTTCAATTAAAGTAGTATATCAGTTGGATAGGGTCGTTATTATTGTATGCAGGGTAAGGTCGAAATACTGAGGAATTCTCATTCGTACTTGCCATGTTAGTATTCTGCTCAATTCTGTGTATAAACAAGTGTACACTCGTTGTTTTTGTACATGGTGGTTCTTATGTTATGTTTCTGTAACAATAAATGTTTTAACCCTCCCCCTCACCGTACAACCATGGTTTTCTATCTCCATTTATTTGGCCCAAACATTACGTAATAAAGGTTTCGATAATTCAATAATAAATATGTCCAAGTGTTGTATCATCAGCATTCGTCTACAACTGGCGTCATCGTTCGTCCACAACTGAAGTCATCGTTCGTCTACAACTGACGTCTTCATTCGTCTACAAATGACGTCACAATTCGTCTACAACTGACATCATCATTCGTCCACAACTGACGTCATCATTCGTCTGCAACTAACGTCATCATTCCTCTACAACTGGCGTCATCATTCGTTTACACCTGACATCATCATTCGTCCACAACTGACGTCATCATTCGTCTACAACTGACGTCACCATTCGTCTGCAACTGTCGTCACGGCGAAAATTTCATCGTCCTCAAATATTAAATCCCAGTGTCGGTCTAGGTATGCGACGATCACAAATCACTTTGATTGCCATGCGCCATCCACCCCTTCCGAATGAAATATAAACAAGTTGACAAGCTATTTACAAGATTGTGCCTGATTATCTACCCAACCATAAAACAGTCAGAATAAACCATTGAAGAGCTGCCTGCTTGTTGACATGTATTAAATTCTGCCTAATATATACAGGTATATGTTTCGAATAAACTGCATCTTTCGCCGTTGTAGTTCATTTTTATTAAATATCTATTTATGTGTATGCGTTAACAGGTAATGGTGTTTACATTGCACTTGGCACCGACACGAATGCTCGATGTTAGGTGCATGACGAGTTAACGGGGTGAGAGGACTGTCAGCGTTCATATGACTGACTACCCATGCGAACATAATTATCAGAGCAAAAGATGGAAACGCGCTCCACTAAGCTGACACAGATGGTGAAACAGACTACGATATGTTTATTAGTGCACATACGATATGAGTGCTCGAAAGACCAGCTCCAGTGTCGTCGCACTGTTAATATGTTTCTAAATTAACCAAAACCACGTCGTCATTCCCTCCCGCTCTGATACAACCACATGTAGAGACAGACGGAAATACAGGGCTAATCAGTCGTCGACAATGAACCAAGACAACGTATACAAATATTGAGTTTAACAACGGAGCTTTAATTTTACCGGACATTTACACTTTTGTTTATTTTAACGGAAATTGAGTGGAGTCTATGAGAGACAACATGGTTACGCTGACAAGAAGTCGTCGCTTCCGTTACTTAATCTCTATGGTTGGTGTGTTTTTCGGTACAATTTACCTACGACATTTATCGTCCCATGCAATGGAGTCAGTTATCGATAAGGACGCCACCAGCAAGGTAAGTAGTTATATTGCCATTATACGACAGAACGATAATTACAACCGTCTTCATATATGTTACTTGTTATTACATTTTTTACATTTATGTCTAAATCTCAACTATTGCAGGATTCCCAATGTTTTAATCACGCCCATAACAGAGAGAGCATACATATAACAAGGTGTGACGTCATCACACAGCTGTTGCTTAATTTTATAAACACATATATAGTGTCGGTTCAGTTATTTTTACTTTGATAAAATGGCAAAACGTAACAGACGTGACAATACTGTTACGTATTTATTAGACATTGTGTTTGTTATTTGTGTATTGTTTACGTGTCGTATTTCCAAAGGTGACATAAAGTATTAGTTGTAATATACGGTATAAATGTGGGTGTTTCAGTATAGACACATAATACGTACCAGCAGTGTATGATGAATTATGTGACTTAACATTATGGAACACATTACAGTCCGTAACATAAATTACTTCGGCATAATAATATATGACGTCATACCAGCACGCACACCACGTTTCACACAATCACATATATATGGTATATGTACGCAAATGTGTTATAACGTCACTCTCTATACAGAAAGAATCCCAATACATTTTGATTTGATTGAGTCGGTCACAGCTTGTACATTTCCATTTTCGGCAAGAACTGTTATGATATGCTTGCGTTTTAAAACACAAATCTGACAAATTCGTCTGCTACAACTGGAAATGTGCCACTGCTGTGAGCTATATGAAGCCCGAGCCCAAATAATCCGGCATCGAGTCTCCGAACCGAAGCGAACTCTAACATCGTACATTAAAATTTGCGTACCCTATCCAGTTCGCCACAGTAGAAATAGTTGTCAATGATAAAAGGACATCAGCTACAAACCATACAATGCTGAACCACAACTATAATCGGCGAAATTGTCAAACTTAGCAATTACGAAATAAATCAAATTATATACTAGTTATATACGTTATATACTAGTTATATGCGTTATATACTAGTTTATTTAATGTTAACCTGTATGATACTTTGTCAAGCGAACGTGAATTTGAAAGGTGCGGTAGACATGTTTTTTGACTTGGTTAGCGAACGCCATTTTAAAATAGGCAAAACTTTCCGAAATTTAGGTCAATTGGTTTTCGTTTGAAACTAGTTTATTTTAAGTGAGTTTCATTTTTTTATATTTTTTGAGGGAAACTGTTCACATACTGCAATTTAATATTGGTCATAATGGTAGAATTAGTGTACTAGACAAATATGATTAATTGTAAAACTTAAATATTTTTAGTTATTTAAATATTTCTCTGTGATATTGGTTCTATATTAAATATTTTCTAGTGTCTTTGGTTCTACACGTATGGTAAAAATTACTCAAAATACTGTGAATGTGATCAATGTGACAGTGCCTCACATACACGTTTGCGTAAGAATATATCATCCAGATAATCGTATTACAGCATATATATGACGTTCATCTGATTTATTTAATTTTCTGTAATATCACCGTAACTGATTATAATTGACCGTTATATATATATACATATGGGTTGAAAAGTTGAATATTCATGCTACGTATATGAAAGCAGCCAGCTGGAACATGAATAATTAGTCAGCCACAAATTGATTTCCCATATATGTGCATGCTATTAATATAGATATATGTGATACCATGTGGCACCATCTCTTTATTTATTTACAAAAGTAGTTAAGACTCAGCATTACATGCATTAAGAAATACGAACAAAAATATCATTCGATATTCAATTGGCTGTCACAGTGATCGCTTTTTTTAGTTTATAGCTTTAATTTGGTCAGAGAGATATCTGTGCAAAACATTATCGCCGCCCTCAACGACACCCCGAACCACAATAACATAGTAAGAATATGTTGGTAACTCATATATATATTTGACCAGGTTTGATTGACATAGTTGCACGGATTTTATTTTAACAACACATGTTTTTTATTCAATAATGAAATTGTATTGTTGATGTTAGGACACTCCTATATTAAGCCGATGTAACATGCCATGCAGCACGTGGCGACCCCCACATGAACGAACATACATTCTATTATGTATTACTTATTTAATTTGTCAGTAATTTAATCTTAAATCCGTCACAGAGCATAGAAAAAACACAAAACACATGGCAACATAACATAGTAGCCTAATGACACCAAAGTTTTCAGTTAAAAAAACAGTAAGCTGCTTTTAATTGTATATTACATCCGTTGAATAAAGCATTAGTTGCTATTTAATAGTTTGCATATTTTATTGACAATATAAACGTACCCAATAAGCTGCTGCTAACCGCTGTGTGGCACATAGCGACCCACACTGGCAGCATGCAATATATCAACTTGTTGATTTCAGGAGGTTGTTAGTTATCAATATCACTGAAGTTAAGAAGTCTATACTTATAGCCTCGTTCAGGACCGGATAAAGCCAGACTAATGAGCTGCAGCTAATTGATCACATCAGTTTTAATGTTCTTTTCTAAATGTTCAACGTTTATTTGTCAAAATGAAGGTTCGGGATTTCGTGGCATTATTTTCGGGATACACCTTTAAGGGTTCGCACCTTGACTTAGATTATGTCCAACTTACTACCACATTTGGGGTTTGGTTTGGTTTATATTTGGTGTTGAAATCCCAGCTAAATCAAGTACATCTCTCGAAAAGATGTACGACATATAAGGTTTTATACTAAATATATTTTACGATTACTGCCTCTTACAAACACACCATATAAATCAGCAAGTACTAGTACAACATTTTAAATTAAGTAACTTATCAGATATTTTGTTATACCCAAAGAATTGTTTTATTGCATTCGTTAAATGACAGAAAACTCGTAGTGAGCTTAAAACAACTTTTGTCACAGGAATGAAATATGCATAAACAGAGGTTTGTCTAAGTGAAAGAGAGAAAGAGGTCGCAGTGCCGACCTTGCGAATATATTATGTCAGCATCACCCTTCCTTCCTATTATGTGTTTTTTAAATAATACAGGATCACAATATTATTAGTAGTAATCAAAAGTGAAGCCCTGGGCGAATAACGTAACGCCAGCTGTCATATTTGTTGTTTTGGTCATAAATCCCCTTTTCAATTAATTTGTTGTTATTTTCTTTCGAACCATGCAGCCAAGATATTTTGTTATAAGTGCAAAGGACCACGTGATTTCAAATTCATACTGAAACGAGATGTTTCTATTTGCCAATTTAAACTAAGGTCGTTGGGTACTGCGTTCGTTTATTAGCTGGTTAGATTCACGTGCCATTGAAATATATATAAAGATGAAGAAGAATGCACAACGTAATTGATACAAACAATATTCAATACATAACGTAATTAATACAAACAATGTTCAATGCATAACGTAATTGGTACAAACAATATTACAATGCATAACGTAATTAATACAAATAATATTACAATGCATAACGTAATTAATACAAATAATATTACAATGCATAACGTAATTGGTACAAACAATATTACAATACATAACGTAGTTGGTACAATACTATTACAATGCATAACGTAATTAATACAAACAATATTACAATGCATAACGTAATTGGTACAAACAATATTCAATGCATAACGTAATTGGTACAAACAATATTCAATACATAACGTAATTAATACAAATTAATACAAATAATATTACAATGCATAACGTAATTGACACACACAATATTACAATGCATAACGTAATTAATACAAATAATATTACAATGCATAACGTAATTGGTACAAACAATATTACAATGCATAACGTAATTGGTACAAATAATATTACAATGCATAACGTAATTACTACAAACAATGTTCAATGCATAACGTAATTGATACAAACAATATTCAATGCATAACGTAATTGGTACAAACAGTATTAAAATGCG